ATAAATATGAAGAAAACTGATTATGGAATATCTTTTATAAAACCCGCCATCAGGTGTGCCGCGTGAATAGCACATCTTGTCAATGCAAACAGACCGTTATAGCACCGTTATAATTAATGTTAAACCTGAGATTCGACTAGAGAACAAATAAATAATAGAATAATGGTCATGAGATCTCGGCATTGCACAAACAAACAAATCTCATCTTTAAAATCAACATTTGCCTTCACTGGTGAGAGAAAACAAATCCCATCAGTTCATTTGTGGGACTTACCTTTCTAGTATTGAACAAACAATGAAAAATACATAAAATATGAAGAAAAACAATTATGCAATCTAATTTATGACACCCGCCATCGCGGGCCACGGACTCACTTAAAAAAAAAATCGAAACCGGATCTGATTTCGGTACGGTATACCGTAGCCACCAGTAGCCGGTATGCATCCCTAACCCAGACCCCACGCAGCATTCTCATCTGTTTGTCATCACTGGTGTCATTTCCTGATTGCTAACAAACGCCATTGTAAAACATAAACACTGATGTTCTGCTGTAACGGTGGTGGACTCATCAGAACAGAGTGGACGAGCTGACCAATCAGAGCACAGGGAGGGGGGGGGAGGAGCTCCAACAAGCCGTGTAGGACAGAGTGAATACACACACTATACAGAGATGCTGTATGAGAAACCAATGTGAGTTTGGAACATTGAACAATGTAAATCTATTCTAGTAGACCTCAACGATGGAACTATGATCAGTAGAGATGGCCATGACATGGGACCTTTAAGTCCTGCTGTGAACCCAGAAATGTTGAGTACCCCAACGTTTATGATAGAAATGTTTAGTAGGGTCTCCAGCGCATGCTAACCTGCTAACCTGCACATGTTGGGCTCACAATAAGCTGAGTTCATTACCATTATAGCTTCTGTTGACAGTAGTTTAAAAAGGCCTTTACACACTGTGCAGCTAAAGAGTTACTTTGTTCCTCTGCTTCACGGGGAAGAAGATGTTTGGAACGAGGGACTCTGGTCCGAGGGAGCAGTAGAAGGTGGTGACGCCGGCGAGGAACGACCAGAAGACCATCAGGACGTGGAGGTACCTGGAGAGGGACGAGTAAACCGCATTCAAACTCAAACAAAAACACTCACGAACACTGATCGAGTACAGGAGGAGCTTCACCTGGGGCTCTTTGGGCTGCATCATGCACGAAAGGTGCTTTATAAATAAAGTGATTGGATCTTAGAACAAACACCTCAATGGGAATTAAAGTCAATTTAAGAACTATCTTTTTAATTCGGCTTTTAATTTGCGGCAATTTGTAATTTCACTGTTCATGTTTTATTGTTTTATGGTTCAGTGATATCATTCTTTCTGTTTTTAATTATGTTGTCATTTCCTGTCACACAGTGTAAAGCACTTTGGGCTGCGTCAAGCATGAAAGGTGCTATATAAAGAAAGTGTATTGTTGTGACTCCCTCTGAGGGCAGACATAACCTGCCACTGTTGAGCCAATAGAAACACTGATTTCATGCATGCTGTGAGTGTTTTCTACCTGTTTAGCAGCAGTGTGAGCGCCACCAGAGACAGCAGCAGGAAGCAGAAGACTGGGTACTGACGCCCCACTTCCCTCAGGACGTCAATCTTCAGACCCAGCTTCACTTTCTCTACAAACATTAAAAAACCTGCCATCCTGTCGTCAAAGAACCTGCGGACCAAAGAGAGACGTTACAGACGGTGACACCCAGGAAACAGACGCTATTTAAGGGTTCAAATTACACTATAAGCTGCTTTAATGAGTTACAGCCAGAAGAGGGAGAAGTACTCAGATCTTGTACTTGAGTAAAAGTAGAAGTACTCAGATCTTGTTCTTGAGTAAAAGTAGAAGTACTCAGATCTTGTACTTGAGTAAAAGTAGAAGTACTCAGATCTTGTACTTGAGTAAAAGTAGAAGTACTCAGATCTTGTACTTGAGTAAAAGTAGAAGTACTCAGATCTTGTACTTGAGTAAAAGTAGAAGTACTCAGATCTTGTACTTGAGTAAAAGTAGAAGTACTCAGATCTTGTACTTGAGTAAAAGTAGAAGTACTCAGATCTTGTTCTTGAGTAAAAGTAGAAGTACTCAGATCTTGTACTTGAGTAAAAGTAGAAGTACTCAGATCTTGTACTTCAGTAAAAGTAGAAGTACTCAGGTCTTGTACTTGAGTCAAAGTAGAAGTACTCAGATCTTGTACTTGAGTAAAAGTAGAAGTACTCAGATCTTGTACTTTAGTAAAAGTAGAAGTACTCAGATCTTGTACTTTAGTAAAAGTAGAAGTACTCAGATCGTGTACTTGAGTAAAAGTAGAAGTACTCAGATCTTGTACTTGAGTAAAAGTAGAAGTACTCAGATCTTGTACTTTAGTAAAAGTAGAAGTACTCAGATCTTGTACTTGAGTAAAAGTAGAAGTACTCAGATCTTGTACTTCAGTAAAAGTAGAAGTACTCAGATCTTGTACTTGAGTAAAAGTAGAAGTACTCAGATCTTGTACTTGAGTAAAAGTAGAAGTACTCAGATCTTGTACTTGAGTAAAAGTAGAAGTACTCAGGTCTTGTACTT